CAGGGTTGATTCTAATCACAGCCCTGTAGACTGTAATTCCTGCAAGAGAGAGGTGAGCCGCCAGGACTCCAGGCTTTCCCCAGCCGCTCCCTCTTGCCTTTGTGGTACTTTTAATGAAGAATTTTGGAACTGGCTATTATCAAGCAACGTTGGAAAGCGTGAAAATCCCCCTTTCCCGAAAGGTTTGAAATGGCTTAGACTTGAAATGGCTGAGAATGGAATTAGAAAAAAATGTCAGTATAGTTGACACAGTGTTCCGTTAGTTTCAGATGCACAACATAGTGATTCAACATCCCTGTAGTTGTGCTGTGCCCACAAGTATCACTGCCATCTGTCACCACACAACTCGTTCCACGGCATTGACTCTATACCCCATGTTGTATCTTTTATCCCCATGACTTAATAATGGAGCCCCCATCTCCCCACCCCCGTCACCCATTTTGCCCATTCCCTCTCCCCTCTAGCAACCGTCAGTTTGTTGTCTGTATTTAAAGGTCTAATTCTGCCTTTTGTTGGTTTACTGGTTTTAGATTCCACATGCAAGTGAAATCACGGTATTTCTCTTTGTCTGACGTCATAGCGTAGTAGCCTGGAGATCCATTCATGCTGCTGCATATGTAAAGATTCATCTTTTTATGTTGCTCCGAAATAATCCTCATGTATGTGTATGCACATCTAAAGAATGAATTTTTAAAAGGTAATGCAGTCAGTGCCTGGCTGGCTTAGTAGGGTGTGCGACTCTTGATCACAGGGTTATAGGTTCAAGCCCTACATTGGGTATAGAGGTTACTTTCGTATCTTTAAAAAAATAATAATGTAGTTAGGATAAAGGGGAAATAAGTGTTGTACAGTAAAGTAAGGCCAGAAACTTAGAGAAAATAATGCCACCCTCCCCTTATTTATTCAACCAGGTGCTTTCAAATTCTGTGTCTGCACTTCCAAATCTAGTTGCTGGCTTTGGGGGATTTATATTCCAGTGGAAGTTGGTTTTTTGTTTTTGGATTTTTGTTTCTCATTACCTTTTATTAGTAATGACTAGTTGCTAAACTGTAGAGATTATGAAAACTTTTAAGTTCAGAATCATTAGGGAATTCTCATTTGTAGTTTTTGGTCACCACTCAAGATTGTAAACATCCAAAACAATGGAGTTTCCATGAATGAAGGTTGAGAAGTAAAAGCATTTAAGGGTCTCTGACTTGTATGGTGTTTTACTTGAAACACGCCGTATTTGTTACCACGAGGAGAGGATGGGAAGGAGAATCCCATCTGAGTGTCTGAGGCGTGAACAGACACGAGCCAACGGGAAGGTTGGGGCTCTATGGAGAATTAAGAGATGAGCACTAGGCTTTCTGTTCAGTGAAAGACTTGAGCTGCCGCTTTAGGGGGAGGCGGCATTGTGGTTGGGGCGCCTCGTCCCTGGTGGAAGAATTCCATAGGTTACTGGGTTATGTGTGTCCGGCTTGGCACACGCTAGAATCAGTGTTGAGCAAAATTGCCCATTAAGCCTTCCATCTCCACCGCCGTTTTATTGCATTAGTTAATTTGAAACGTTTAGCATACACCTTTTCTGTGTGGTAGTGGAAAGAGTACCTGTTTTTATGTCAGAGCTGCTTTCAGACCTAGGCTTCAGCACATCAGCATTCACTCCAGAAAGCTCATCAGCCTTGAAAGTTTTGACTAACAATTTTGCATTCTTAGTTGGCTTAGCCAAAATGGCGTATGGCAATTTGAGCTTTGGTCCAAGCTAGGTTTTGGGAAACCCACCATTGGAAAGTGGTAGAATGTTTGAGATTCCATTAAAGTTTAAAGTTTGTGTCAGATCAACTTGATGGGTGAATTTTGTTTGTAAATAATTTCAGCCAAATACCATCACCAGTTTCTTGAAATTCCATATGTACGTAGTTGGTGTGAGTGGCCACCAACTGAAAGTCCCTTCACAAGAGTAGGAGGGAAAACCCCCCAAACTCTCTTCAGTAGTTTTTTCTGATGTCTAAATTGAATACTGCCAGACCTTCACCTTGGCGTTTTAGTTCACTTATGCTCCACATTGTACCAGCCCTTGAACCTTAGGTTTTCGAGGCTGCCATCAGTGTGTGTGACATTTAATTAGCACTAAGAAGTGAAGCTAGTCAGTGAAGAGAGGAAAAAGCCCAGGTCTTGGGAAGGACAGATCCTTTCTCCATCCACCAGGGCCTGGGGACCGTGGGCAGGTTCACGCTGAGTGTCTGAGCAAAATGTAACTCATTTTTTATTTTTGTGTTGGGTTTTTTTCCAAATCATTGGTTTAGGGTTTTTTTTTTTTTACATTTTTAAAAAAAAATTTTTTTTTAATGTTTATTTCTAGGAGAGAGAGAGACAGCGTGAGCAGGGGAGGGTCAGAGAGAGAGGGAGTCACAGACTCTGAAACAGGCTCCAGGCTCTGAGCTGGCAGTCAGCACAGAGCCCGATGCGGGGCTCGAACCCACGAACCGCGAGATCATGACCTAAGCGAAAGTCGGACGCTTAACCGACTAAGCCACTCAGGCGCCCCCTTTTTTTTTTACATTTTTAAAATTTTATTATGCACATATAAAATATTTGAGTCTCAACAATCAAATTTATATTAAAATATATACTCAAAATCACTACTCCAATTCTGCTTTATCTATTTCCTGCTTCTAATCAGGAACTACTTGTATTCTTTTCAGTTACCTATTTATTTACTTTCTAATTTTTAAAAAATTTTTTATTAAAAAAATGTTTTAATGTTTATTTTTGAGAGAGAGAGAGAGAGAGAGGCAGAGTGCACGTGGGGGAGGGGCAGAGAGAGAGAGGGAGACACAGAATCTGAAGCAGGCTTCAGGCGCTGAGCTGTCTGCACAGAGCCCGACATGGCTCGAACTCCCGTACCATGAAATCATGACCTGAGCTGAAGTCGGATGCTTAACCAACTGAGCCACCCAGATGCCCCACTAATTTTCTTTTAATTCCAGTATAGCCAACATGTACTGTTAGTTTAGTTTCAGATGTACAATACAGTGATGCAGCAATTCCATATATTACTCAGTGCCCATCACGATGAATGTGCTTTTTATTTCCCACCCACCTTCCCTCTGGTGACCATTAGCTTGTTCTCTATAGTTAAGAGTCTGGTTTTTGGTTTGTCTCTTTTTTTCCTTTGTTTGGTTTTTTTTTTTTTAATATAATTTATTGTCTAGTTAACTAACATACAGTGTATACAGTGTGATCTTGGTTTGGGGGTTAGAATCCTTAGCATAATACTCTCTAGCCTCCATCCATGTTGTAAATGACAAGATTTCATTCTTTTTTTGTGGCTGAGTAATAGTCCATTGTATATCTATACCACATGTTCTTTATCCATTCATCAGTCGATGGACACTTGGCTATTGTAAATAATGCTGCAGTAAATTTAGGGGTGCATGTGTCTTTCTGAGTAAGTGCTTTCATATTCTCTGGGTAAATACCCAGTAGAGGAATCACTGAATCATACGGTAATTTTGTTTTTAATTTTTTGAGGAACCTCCATACTGTTTTCCACAGTGAATGCACCAGTTTGCATCCCCACCAACAAACGGCGCATGAGGCTTCCTTTTTCTCCACATTCTTGCCAACACTTGTTTCTTGTGTTGTTGATTTTAGCCATTCTGACAGGTGTGATTTGCATCTCATTGTGGTTTTGATTTGCATTTCCCTGATGATGAGTGATGTTGAGCATCTTTTCATGTGTCTGTTGGCCATCTGGATGTCTTTGGAGAAATGTCTGTTCATGTCTTCTGCCCATTTTTAATTGGGTTATTTATTTGGGGGGGTATTGAGCTGTATAAATTCTTTATATGTTTTAGATACTCTTTATCAAATGTCATTTGCAAATATCTTTTCCCGTTAAGCAGGTGTGTTTTTGTTTTGTTGGTGGTTTCCTTTGCTGTGCAGCAGCTTTTTATTTTGACATCCCAGTAGTTTATTTTTGCTTTTGTTTCCCCTCACCTCAGGAAATACATCTAGAAAAGTGTTGCTATGATTGATGTCCGAGATTACTGCCTGTGCTCTCGTCCAGGATTCTTAGGATTTCAGGTCTCACACTTAGGTCCTTAATCCATTTCGAGTTTATTTTTGCGTGTGGTGTGAGAGAGAGACATCTACTTTCATTCTTCTGCATGTGGCTGTCCGGTTTCCCCAACCATTTGTTGAAGAGACTGTCTTTTTTTCCATTGCATATTTTTTCCTCTTTTGTCAAGGATTAATTGACTATATCATTGTGGGTTTTTTTCTGAGCTCTCTTCTGTTCTTTCAATCTTGTGCCTATTTTTTGTGCCAGTACCACACTGTTTTGATCACTATAGCTTTGTAGTATATCTTAAAATCCAGGATTGTGATACCTCCAGTTTTATTGTTCTTTTGCAAGATTGCTTTGGCTATTTGGGGTATTATGTGGTTCCATACACATTTTGGAATTGTTTGTTAATTTCTTTGTTTCATATTGAAAACTTAAACAGATTAGCAAGTAAGTAACGTGTAAAGAGAATCATAGATTTTTCCTTGTTGAAGTGCTAGATTAAATGTAATTTGAATTTATTAGAGGGCAGACATATATGCCAATTGCAGATTGGGAAGGAGTTTCTATCTGCAGACCTCTTCTAATTCCCAGAGCTGTCTTCCAGATAGGAAATTTGGGTGGGATCAGAGGAAGGGAAAAAAGCCTGGACACAGGCAAAGTCCGTTTTATTTTTCAAATTACTGTAGGGGTGGAGCAGACTGATCTCTTCTTCAGAAAAGTTCCACTGCCTTAGCTCCCAGACCGTGCAGTGCACAGCTTCTAGGGGGTGGGGGCAGCGAGGGGTCCCCCCGTCTGCCTCTGCTGAGGGCTTCAACACTGAAGGGAGCCGGGAAGATTCCTGGCAGAGCTGGGGTTGTGCTGTAAACCTAACGGTTACAACAAAGCACGAGGTTGGTGCCCACAGGGTGAAGGGTGTTGCCATTCACAGAGGAGTAAAACGGGCTGGTTTGTGAAACGCCTTGCCCGTGATCACACAGGGCATGACCTAGAACTTGAACATGCTTTACTCCAAAACCTAATTCTGAAATGTTACCTTGTGTTTCCCCCTCTACAATGTTGCCCCCCCCTTTTTTTTTTTTTAGTATTTCTCTTTGGACATCGGCACTGGAAAGGCCAGAGTTATTTGCTCTTTTTTCTATAGGCTTCAAGTTTCAGAACAGCTGAGCGGCCTTTGTGCGCTTTGGATGCCCTGGGCTTCAGCGAGGCTACAGGAAGCGCATGCGTGTTTCGTCCTGCTGGGAAGGCCTGGGCTCTGGCTGGTTTGGGTGAATGGACCCATTCACACCCAGTCCACTTAACAATCGGTTTGCCTAAAATTTGAATTTTAAAATATGTTAACTTTTCATATCAGTAGGATACTTTCATATAAATATTTTTTAATTATTTTTATTAAGTTTTTTAACATGTATTCATTTTTTGAGAGACAGAGACAGCACAAGGAGGGGTAGAGAGAGAGGGAGACACAGAATCCAGGCAGGCTCCAGGCTCTGAGCTGTCAGCACAGAGCCCGACGTGGGGCTCGAACCCACAAACCGTGAGATCAAGACCTGAGCTGAAGTTGGATGCTTAACCGACTGAGCCACCCAGGAGCCCCTAAATATTTTTCTTTTTAAGCCAGTTAAGACAAGAATACCTAGGAAAGGTTAAACATTTTAAACTCATCAGTAGAGCAAGTAGGAATGTCAGCACTTCCTTACAGATTGCTCAGAGGTGCTCCAACTACTGTATCTTATCTGAAGGTATTTGTTTGAAAAAAATCTTACTGAAAACACAAAATTAAGGCAGAAGTACCCTTAGAAGAATGAGATAAAAATGATAATTTAAAAAAAATTTTAAATGTTTTTATTTCTGAGAGAGAGAGAGAGACCGTATGAGCAGGGGAGGGTCAGAAAGAGAGGGAGACACAGACTCTGAAGCAGGCTCCAGGCTCTGAGCTGTCAGCACAGAGCCCGACGCGGGGCTCGAAGCCATGAACCGTGAGATCATGACCTGAGCCAAAGTCGGATGCTCAACCAACTGAGCCACCCAGGTCCCCTTGGTAATTTTTTTTTTAAAGAAAGGAAGCAAAAATAGGAATCGGTATCTAAAAATGAATGTTTTGTGCCAAGTACGTTGTATATAAATAATGCCACGACTGTGGTAAACATTGTTTTCAGAGTGGATCATGGGTGAATGTGTAATTTAGAAAGTTCATTATTAGGTGAACTGGATTTTAGGCAAATTAGATGCCTGATCTAGAGTTTATTAATGTCCTTTCCCCTCCCCCCCCAATCATAATAGGAACATATATTCATTGTAATAGTTCAAAAGTAAAAGAAAGTATAGGAGTGCCTGGGTGGCTCGGTCGGTCGAGCGTCCGACTTTGGTTCAGGTCACTATCTCTCAGTTTACAAGATCGAGCCCCGCATCGGGCTCTGCGCTGACAGCTCAGAGCCTGGAGCCTGCTTCAGATTCTGTGTCTCCCTCTCTCTCTACCCCTCCCCTGCTTGAACTCTGTCTTCTCTCTCAAAAATAAATAAACATTAAAACAATTTTTTCAAATAAGTTCAAAAGAAAGTATAAAGAAGAAAATAAAAATCATCCATAATCCTACCTCCGAGTTAGTGTTTTAAATCTCTTATGTTTTTATACACTTTTTTTTTTTTAATATAGTCGAGGTCATACTCGGTAATCAGTTCTGTGTTCTAGGCATCTCCCCCCCGCACTGTCCTGGCTGTTGAGCAGGCTGAGTGAAGAACCCAGGAATATCTCCCGAATGCATTCTGAGGAGCCACCCTCCGGAGTGTGGCCCGAAGCACTGGAGAAACGTGGTAGTGTCTGGACACGGGGGGCGGGGGGGGGGGGTTGGGGCGAGGACAGGCTGCTCAGGGGTGCGGGACTCCGGAATTCCTCAGGAGAGGACTGGATCCTGGCGGCTCCCCCTGGAGACAGGCTTCATGCTGAGATGAATACCCCTATCAGATGGTTGGAAAACCCACATACACTCAGAAAGTCATCTTGACTCAGCGGCCCTTCCGTCACAGCCCCCTCCCTGCTTTATCTCTGTCACCTGGTAATGTAACCCTGGCGGGTGTGGTTCTGCTTCTGGGGAGCCGGCCCCCCGGGTGCTGGGTGCTGTTACAGGGAGGGAATCGGGCCAGCGGGGGCTCCACTGGGACTCCCTGAGTGTCCACAGTGCTAGACGCTTTGGGGCTCCGGGTGACATCACACTTAGCTGCCGTGGCAACTCGTGGTAGCTAAGGAGCCATGGAGCCCATCCTAGGTCAAACCTGTTGGGTTCCAAAGCCAAGGCCCTTTCTGTGTTGAGACCCCGGTTTGTTTGTCCGGCGATTCTGGAGAGGCGCTGCGTGTGCGTGGTGACCTGTCGGTGGGAGCACTTTTCCTGACAGCCTGCGGTCCACAGGGAGCATGGATGCAGACAGAACAAATGAAGGGCGCATCCCTGCAAGGCTCTGGAGGGAAATACCCTGGTGCTGCCACAGGCACGGGAGCGTCCCACGAAGGCATCAGCCAGGTGCAGAGTGGCAGGGACAGCATTCTCCTGGAGCTGGAGAGGAGCAGGAAGGTGTCCGGGTTTGGGGGGCTCAGTGAACGGGGGCTGGGGTTGGGGGAGAGACAGACGGCCGGGTGCATCTCCGTGCGAATGACCACAGAGGCCCGGAAGTGTCGAGGGAGACACTGCTTCCTGGTGGCCTGGGGGAGGCGCCTGTGACCGGTGGTCTGGGTGAAGCAGAAGGCCCGGGGTTCAGACGGGGACCAGGGCGCCAGCGTGCGCGGTGGCCGTGACGGGTTCCCCAGCAGAGCCCTACTGTGGAGGGTCTCGAGCGTCCGGGACCGTTCCAACACGACCCAGGCCCGGCCCACGCTCTCAGCAGGAGAGACGACCTAACAGGGCGAGGAAAAGGAGCCCAAGCACATTCACAGGTGGCAGGCAGCATTCAGTTCCGGGGCTCGTACCTGATCCTGCCTCCGCACCGCTCCCGACCTTGTGCCTACAGTCAGTGGGGGCCCGGGGCGCGGGGGACGCTGCCGCCGTCTAGCCCGCCCTCTCGCTCTGCATTTCGTCACAGATGTGGTTTCAAGCCCTGGAGCTTGCTCCCGGCTCAGCCGTGCTCCTTGACCACTCGGGACTGCCGGGTTCTCCCTGATGGGTGTCTGGGGACCGATCCCCCGGCGCTGTCGCACAGGATGACCCCGGTCTCCGGAGTGCCGGGCCTGCACCGAGTGCTGCGTGGGCCCCGCCTCACTCGATCCCCCAACGGCCCCATGAAGGCAGATGAAGACCCCGGTCCGTTCAGGGAGCTGGGGCGCGGGGCTCCATGTGGAGCCACGACACGTGCAGGCGTGACTGCCCCTCCCCCCTTGGCTGTGACCCCGGGACTGTGCTAGTGCTGTGGGCCCCGGGCCCCTGAAGCACAAGTTCATCTGGCTTGCAGAGCAAGAAGGAGCAGTTTGTCACTGAAGCCAGCGGGGCTGGGAGCAATGTGCCCTTTCCTTTCCAGCTTGTGCGTGGGGGCCATGATGTGCCCTTTCAGGTGGGGGCCTGTGTCTCTGTGGAGCCCGCCCCTGGAAAGCCTTCCAGTCCTTGACATCCATCACTGTGGGGGCTCAGCTTTGCGCGGCTGAATACGGATGAGCGTTTATTTAATTAAGGCTAGAAACCGCTCTTTCTGTGTTCACAGATCATCGCAGGCGCCCCTCGCCCTCACCACCACCTCCCAGCCACGGGCCCGCAGCCCGCTCGCAGCCCGGACTCCGCTCCGCTCCTGCCCTCCAGTGCCCACCAGCCACCCACTCCGTAGTCCAAGAGATCGAGGCTGGATTCCTCTCAGCGCCCCCGAGTCTGGGGGAGGGGAGGCACAGGAGAGATGCCTGCACTCACCCCTGGTGGGGGGGCGTCACAGTCTGACCAAAGGCCACCCCAGTCCCAAGGCGTTTGGCACCTTGCGACCGGAATGGAAGACCCTGGAAAAGCAACCTAACATCCCCTTGATGCCACCTGTCTGTCTTCTGGTTCTAATTACAGCCTTCACTGGAGGCTGAAGCGGAGGGAACAGCAGTGAACAATGAACACCTCAGCCTGGAGAGGAGCTTTTGAGGGGGTGTAGCCGTGGGGGGCTGGGGCAGGGCCCGCGGGAAGGGGAGAAGTGAGGACAGCGCTGGGCACCGTTGCCAGAAAGGTGATGAGAGTGTGGCCGGAGGCAAGGCCTTGCACCTGCTGGCCCTCCCCCTCCCCCCTCCCTCCCCCCGCCCAGGTACGCGCCTCCCCTGGCTCCCCACCCCCCACCCAAACAAGCCGGCAGCGACCTGGGCTCCCTTATCCCTTGGATGTGAGGGAAACAGATGGGGGCGGGCACCAACCATGTGCGGCAGGCTGGCTCCTTGCCCTGCAGAGCGCTTCGGAGCCCTAGGCGCCCTGCGAGAGTTCTGGGCGGGTCAGAGGAGGGAGACGGAGAGCACCGCCTCGGATGTCTTCCGCAGAGACTGTTGTCCAAGTGCTTACTGGCCATCTCCTGTTGTGCCTGGAGGCTGCCACTCACCCTGTAGACCATAGCTGGGATAGCATCTCCTCAGGCTGGTGTAGACGCATCCCCACCTCCAGAGCACTCTAGCTAAGTCTCTCTTGCACCCCCTCTTTCAAAGCTGGGCCCTGTCCTGATGCATATCTGTAGCCGCGGCCCATGATGTGTGGTAGATGCTTGTCGGTGTAAGATCTGGGAATGAGGGGCTGATCACTTCCTGGCCTGAGGGGCTCCCGATGTTCTGGGGGGACACCAGCTGGCATCTATGAAGGCTTGCCGTGTCAGGGCGCTGCCCAGTGCCTTACATGCATGATCTCACTGAATCCTGTAAGCAGAGAATATCGTAGTTCCCATTTGATCGACGATAAAATTGAGGCACGGGGCAGTTAAATATTTGTCCGAGGTCCCACACCTTCTAGACGCTGGAGCCCGTCGCTACGGAGTGTTCAGGGCAATGCAGATTTCATTCAGTTCTCAAAACACTCCTGGGAGGGTAGTGTTGTTGCTGGAACCTGAGCGTTGGGGGAAATTCAGTGTCTCGTTCAAGGGCGAGCAAGATTCAGAAATCAAACCCTCCGACCAGTCCCGAGCAGACAGACTCCGAAGAGAGGGCCCTGAAGGCCAAGGGGGCCCCTCCTGCAGGAGCTGTTTCTGCCTGTGGTCTGTCCCACCAGACTGGGAAGAGACCTGACGTGACAACTCTTATCGTCATTTAGTGAATAAACCGTGACAGGGAGCCCGGCTGACAGGCATGTGGTTGGTTGGTAACTAGAAGGTCCTCGTAGGTCACAGGGGTCACCATCAGAACCCTTTCCTTGGATCAGGACTAACTGCTGGTTACCCAGAGTCTTCTGGTTCATCCCCTCGCTGGCTGTGGCAGGGTTTTGGGAACGAAGGGACGGGCTAAACAGGTTTACGAGCATGGCCGAGGCAGACGCAGCACCAGAACTCTCCCGGTGCGGTAAAGGGAATTAAGCTGTAATTTATGTGACGGTAAAAAACCGTTCTGGGCCTGTGATTCATTTTTATACAAAATGAATATGATATCGGGTGCCTGGGTGGCTCGGTCGGTTGAGTGTCTGACTTCGGCTCAGTTCATGATCTCAGGGTTCACGAGTTCAAGCCCTGCGTCGGCTGACAGTTCAGAGCCTGGAGCCTGCTTCAGATTTTGCGTCTCCTCCTCTCTCTGCCCCTCCCCTGCTTATGCCCTCTGTCTCTCAAAGATAAATAAATATAGAATTTTTTTTTTAAACGAATGTGATATCGCTGCCCTAGATGCTAAGAGTGTTCAAGAGAGAGCCAAGATTCACAGTCAGCCTTAGCGGTTTGTCCTCCCCGGGAGCACAGGCTGACTTGAGAGTCATTTGTGCCATCGTCCCAAGTGGGGCTGGCGGAAAAGGGCATAGGGCAGACTCGGGAGGGAGGGCAGACCGTCTTGGCTACAGGTAGAAGCCTGTGCACCAGACTGGCAGATGCTCTCTCCCTCTGGATCAGCCCCGAATCTGAGCAGAGCCATGAGCAGAAAAGCCGTCTAAACTCTGGGAAGGAAAGTCGCATGGCCCACATGCCAAGGGGCTCTGTTGACAATGTGGGCCTCTCACCCGGCAGTCATGGCTTACACCCGCCCCTGACCCACCTGTTTCCGCAGTTCACCGCAGATTACCCTAGATGCCAATACCTTCAGCTAGCTTCAGTCTGCCAGGTCCTGGGCTCCTCACGCAGAACGCAGGGCCCGTGAAATAGACGCTGTTTCCTGCATGTTACGGATGAGGAAACTAATTCAGATGAGAGGTGTCTTGCTCATAGCTGCACGTACCCAGGACAGACGGCTGCTTTGCTGATCGGTTAGCCCCTTGCGTGCAGGGAGGAGAGGAGCGGGCCTTTCGGGCCTCAGTTGCCTTTTTAAGACAGAGACAAGCGCTGTGAACCATGGGAGTTTCGTCTTTTCTCTGCATCCTTCCGTGAGCTTTCCGCGTACTTACTTCTTCCAGAAAGCCCGACGAAGTGGATTTGGGGGTGAGGAGCCAGAGCAGGGCTCAGAGGGAAATGGAACGACGGTAGAGGCTGGAGTGGGATGGGGGGGGGGCGACTGCTAGTCCCCCTGGGCCCAGAGATGATGCGGCCTAGACGGATCCTTCTCGGGGATCCCGGAAACCTGGCGGGAGTCCGCATTAATTCACTTCTCCCGTGAACATTCACACTGTTCCAGATTTTAAGTCCTCTTTCCAGTTAGCTTTGTGTTCTGAACAGGAGCCTGTCTTTTTTATTCTCGAACAGTGTGTATGCATCTTGAAGGCAAGGATCATGTGCTGGGCTTCGTATTTCCCCCCCCTCAATCCAGTACGTAGCAGAACAAGCCTGGCTTTGACCCGGCTGACCTAGGGATCTCCTGGATCTTTCTTTATCTGCATGCACAAAAGTTAGGGTAACTGCAAACGTATTTGCATATATACCAAAAGTAAATAAATCAATAACAACGACCCTGTGCCTCTCAGAAAAGTATTTCTCTTCTCTGTGTCTCAGTTTTTCCATCCATAAAATGAGTCCATGTGACTGGGGTTCTTGGAGGGAGAGTCCGGCTCCAAGCTCCTTTGGATTCCAAGTCTCCTTGTCGATCGTGAGTGTTTTTCCTCCGAAAACCGTGATTTGCTGAAGGCTTGGTCTCTCCTCCGAGCAATGGCCTCCTCTTTCCCACCGGGCTCTTGCAGGCCAGCCTGACCCCCTGGGGTGCCCCCCCCACCTCTCTTTGTTTGCTCAGGGGCCTGGGAACCTGAGAAGGAGCCTACTCCTCCCGGCTTCTCAGAGGCAGTCCTGATGAATACAGATACGTCCTTTTTTGCATATTAGCACGGATGCCAGTCTGAACCCAGCTGTGTGCAGCGTAAGGTGAAATATAGATTCCCCAGCCCGGCCACGGCTTCTCCACGCGGCTAATCGAAAAGCCTTCTGAGCGGGCCCACGATGCATATGCATAAGCTCTCCTTGGGCGCCGGGGTGGGTGGAGGGGAATTTCGCTCACTTCTCTGCGCTTCTTTGGGTTTCCTTCAAGAGCAGCGGGCCGTCTGGGCTGCACACCGGGTTGGAGTGCACTGGCCGGGCCGTGGCTGGGCCTCTCGGGATCTCTGGGACTTGCGTCTGGAATCGGAACCCGCGCTCTTGCCCACCCGCTCAGCCTGGTCCGTCAGCGGGGACCAGGCTTGCGCCTTCCACCGGACACAGCTCAGTTCCTTTCCTCATCTGCCCCCAGGTTCCCCACTCCCCCCCCCTCCTCTGCCAGCTCCGAGGGACTCCTGTGTCTCTGAGCCTCTGTGTCCCTGCTTCCTCTCTGGCCTGCGGGGGGGGGGGGGCGGGGCGTCCTTGTTTCCGTAGCCCAGGAGTCTGACTCAGCCACATACCTGCACTTGGAGTTCACGTCTGTCCCCACCGGCTCCTCCTCCACACAGTGAAGAAAAACCAGGCCAATGCTCGTGTAACTCCCCTGTTCAAAAATCAAGGTTTTTTTTTTTTTAGATTAAAAATTCTTAATGTTCATTTTTGAGAGAGAGAGAGAGAAAGTGCACGAACAGGGGACGGGCAGAGAGAGAGGGAGACACAGACTTCGGAGCAGGCTCCAGGCTCCGAGCTGTCAGCACAGAGCCCGACACGGGGGGCGGGGGGGGGGGTGGCTAGAACTCAGGAACGGTGAGATCATGACCTGAGCCCAAGTCTACACGCAACCGCCTGAGCCCCCCAGGCGCCCCTCTCCTGTGTCTAAACACGTTTGGGAGGAGGAACCCCACGATCACGTCCTGAGGCCGAAGTCGGAGGCTCACCAGACTGAGCCCCAGGCGCCTCAGGAATTCGGGTTTGCTGCCCGGCTGGGTCTTGCCACAGGGGTGTATCTTGCAGAGGCTGACGTGAGGCAGCAGAGCCAACGCGAGGGTGTCCTTGTGGCACCCCTAACGGGCAACGACTCATCAGAGAGGACCGGCTGGGTCAGGGTGTTGCTGCTATTGCTGCGGAAGCTCCTTTCCAGGAAACCCGTCAGATCCCTCTGTGGGTATGGACAGGAAGTCGGCCGCTGGTCACACGGAGGAGTGGGGGGGGCCCTGGCCCCCATCGGGCCCAGCCAGCTCTCCTCGGGGCCACTCCCCCTGCACTCCCCGGGTGGGATGGCGGGGACAGCAGAGGGGCCCCTGGAGCTTATATAGCTTCCCCTGTATATATTTAGAGACAAGTTCATTTAGGGATCAGGGGCTGCTTCCTGTCTATGCATCATTAAGCAGACCACATCTGCTACTGAGCTAGCAATCAGCAGAATATTGAGAAAAGTTATAAAGAAATCTTTGCGACGCTTCATTTTCATTCCCAGCTCCCCGAGTCCCGGCTCCGACTCTCGCGAAGGCGCGGACGCAGCCGGGCTGTAGGACCCGCTTCAGGACCCGCCGGGGGAGGCAGAGGAGCAGCCTGGATCCACTCTGGCCTGCGGCCCTCACACAGCGCGTGCGCATGGAGGGCAGACGGTGGGCGGCGGCAGAGGGGTGACCTCTGGCAGATGTCCCTGCGCCTTCTCCCGCGGTGGCCACGCCGGAAGTCGAGGGGCCCACGGCAGTCCCGAGCACGGCTCTGTGGTCAGAGGCTGGAGACCAGACTTAGATTCTCTGGGTGACCTTGACTAAGCCGTTTCCCCTCTGCGGTCCTCAGTCTCCTTATCTGTGAAATGGGCGTGTGGCCGCGGCTGCTGCAGCCGGTGCTCCTGAGGGCTGCTGCTTCCCCGCCCAGCTAGTACCTCTGGCCTTGGCTTGCCCAGGTGGGTGGCGGGGGGCCGACTGCCGGCCGTGGGGAGACCAGAAGAACCGTGCTGGGCTCTGGAGGCTCGGAGCTGGGAACAGGGATGGGGGCAGCAGGTGGGTGCCCCGCCTCCCCGGTGCCTTCACCACGGCCAGAGAACTGACAGCCTCCTCCGTCCCTGGGGCCCTCTGGGCAGCCTGGGCTGTTCGCAGGCCCCCGGGTGGTGATGCGGTGGCCGGTGACATGCGGCGTGTTAAACTGCAGGTGTCACTGTTAGCCCTGGAATGGGGGCTCGGCGCTGCGGCCCCAGGGCGGCCACGAAGGAGCCTGCTCTCTCGCCGGCGGGCTCCGCCACCAGCGGCTCGGCCGGGAGCCCAGAAGCGCGGCGCCCCCTCCTGTCGCCGCCCCTCGGGGTCGCAGCCCCCCCCCCGGAAGTGAAGGGGCCCCCGGAGGCCGCACCGCGTGCGCGCGGAGCCCGGGGTGGGGTGGGGGGCGGGGGAGACGTCCCCGGCGGGGCTCCTGGGATGGGCCTGGGCCTCCGCGACCTCCCCGGGCAAGAGGGGCGGCAGCGGGCTGGGAGCCGCACGCAACCGCGTCCACGCGGTCAGCGGGATGGTCGGGGACGGCGTCCACGCGGTCCGCGTGCCCGGAGGCCTTGCGCACCCGGGGTCCAGGCCGGGCGGGGACCCTGAGCAGACCCGAGTCAAGAGGGGTGGCCCCGCGGGTGGGGGTGGGGGTGCTGTATCTCAGATGGCGACCCCTCCCCCGCACACGCCGTCAACTAGTCGGTGCTCCCGGATGTAAAAGGCCCCTTCGTAGAAGTCTGTGTTTCAGGAATGACCAGGCGGGCGCCGTTTTTAGGGGAATCCGCGCCAGAAGGCACACCCCGGCCTGCGCTGGCCTGGCCGGGCCCCGCAGGCGCCCCGCGAGGCCCCCCGCCCCGTCTTTGGGGTCCGCTGAGCCTCGACATACCCCCCCCCCGTTTCCTTTTGCTCCCCTTATTTTTCATTCTGCATTTCACCCGGGACACAAAAACGTCTGCTGGAACCGAGTTTTGGGGGCATCTCTACCTGCGAGCTGGAGGGCCCCCAGGCCCCCAAAGCGGGAGCGCACGGGGCTTCGCGCCCTGGGCTCTCGTGATTTCAGTTTAAAAAAACGTAGAAGGGAGCGTGTGTGCGCATGCGCGCGTGCTGGTGGGGCGTGAGGGCGCAGAGTCTTTCCAGGCCTTAAAAAACGAAGAAAAATACATTTTTGAATAAGAATGGTCCGTGTACTGTGACCGCAGGGCAAATGCAAATGTCTGTTTTCAAACACAGACTCGTGCATTCTTATTACTAGATCGTGACTGCGCCTCCAAGCAGGATGTTCCATATTCATAAGCGCGGGGCACCTTGCGCCTCACTCGAGGGGTGGCCTCCGAGCACCCATGTCCCTGTACCCGCGGGGGAGGAGAGCACAAGGAAGCCCGCCTCCGGCCGCAGTTGGTCTGTTCCCTTCAGTCCCTAAAGCGTTAAGGGAATAGGAGATAAAAAGACGCTGTGGAAAAAGCAGCAGCCACAGCCTCCTCCACAAAGATCTTTTTAGTGTCAACTTAAATGTACACAAATAGCGGATGATGATCTCTTTTATTGGGCTAACATTTATCCAGTAATATCCACACACTTTTAAAACCATTGAGGCCTCCTCTTCAGGTGTTCATTTGAATAGAAATAGCTGAATGAGTGTTTTTATAATTGATCCCCTGAGAACTGAATGTCTAGAGCTGCATAACTAACATTTTCCCATTGCTGGGTTTTTTTTTTTTCCCCCAAATTGCCACTCTGCAAAATTAGGATTTTGTACAGTTTTGATAAGAGAATTAACCTCCCACGTGCCAAACTCCCTGAGTTCGAGAGCCTCCCAGGGAGTCGGCCTGTGCGGGGTCACCTCCCAAGCCAGCTCATTGCCAAGGGTAAGGGGTGGGGGGAGGGATCCACTGCCTCTTGGTTTCGGGGAGAAAACTTCCAGGATCGGGTGGGAGGTGGAGCTGATGGAGGCTTCTGGGTCCAGGGATGCCGGCTTCTTACTTCCTCCTTTGTGTGTAGCAGGGCGAGCTTTGCACTCCCGGCCACTCCCAAATGGCCCCGTGTGGCCCCGTGTGGCCCCGTGTAGCACCTGTGGGCGCCTGGAGCCCCCGACCTTGAGGAGAACAGAAGACTTTCCTTCCCGTGCTTTCTTGGAGTACTGTCAGGTACCTCCGTGTTCCACTAGCTTGGGGGCTAAGATCAAAATAAATGCTCATTGCAGAAAACTGGAAAACGATGTAGAAATACAAAGTTCAAAAATAAGTATCATCCCCGATTCTACCACCCAGGGCTAGACATTCTTGGGTTTCCTGCCAGCCCTTTTCGACGTGTGTGTATTAAACATATGTATATGAAACTGGGATCGTGATCTGCATACAGTTTTGTGTTCTTTTTTCTCTTTGAATGGTCCGTACAAAGCATCTCCTGTACGTTTATGTATGTATTTATTCTTTATTTATTTTTTGAGCAAGAGAGACAGAGCATGAGCAGAGGAGAGGCAGAGAGAGAGAGAGGGAGACACAGAATCCGAAGCAGGCTCCAGGCTCCGAGCTGTCAGGACAGAGCCCGACCAGGGGCTGGAACTCAGCAACGGTGAGATCATGACCTGAGCCGAAGTCGGACACCCGGCCGACTGAGCCGCCCAAGCGCCCCTCTCCTGTGTCTAAACACGTTTGTCTGCATCAATTTAGCGGCTGCACACACAGCCATCAAATGGCTGTAGTTGAATGAATTTAATTGCCCTTATTGATAGCGAGGTGAGAGCTTTTTTCTTTTTCCGTTTTTGTTTTTTGTTGTTTTTTGACTGTGTATAAAAGAGACATCCCTAGCCCTTCTGGGAGAGGCTTTATTTAAACCAGAGCAAGAAAGTTACTTAGGTAGAAAAATTTCCCTGTGTGGCCCAGAAGTGATGGAAAACACAAATTCTTCACCTGAGCGGTGAAAGGCATCTCCAGTAAGACAAGCCCCCGATGACAGTCGGAGCTGGTGGCAGTGGCCAGGACTGCTGGGGGCCGGGCCTGGGGTCACCCTCTCCCTCCCGGGCTGTGCTGCTCTCACACATCCCTTCTCCGCTCGGAGTAAAGTTGTCGTCAGCCCTGTATTCGGTAGGCTGCTCTCACCTGTACGGAACAAACCCCCAGCTCCGCTAGCCTCAAATGCAGGGACTTGACTCTGTCACGTGACAGGGTCCCCAAGGTGGCAGCTCCAGGGTGGCCGATTCAGACACTTGCCCGACATCACTGAAGACCCCCGACTCTCCGCAGCTGCCCTGAGCACGCACTCCACGGGGCTCGTAGGCTGCCCTGGTCCAGGCATGCCATCCACACACGGTGAAGTCCAGCGCTGGAAAAGGGGCTTCAGATGGGACCACCCCCCCCCTCTGGCAGCAAGGACAACCTTTTCCAGAAGGCCAGGCCCCATTCCCTATCCAGGCTCCCTCGCCTCCCAGTGGCTAGAACCATACGCTCACGCCCAAGCCAGTTATTCGCAAGAAGGGGATTCATTCTTCCCGAGGTGAGGCTAACGGCTACCTGGGAAGGGGCGGTGGGGGCACTGTGGGTACCTTGGGGTGTGCACTTGCCCTTCTGGGCTTAGACTCCTGGGCCCCCGAGCCCCCCTTCCCCAGGCCCCTCCGGGCTTCCGGCACTGACCTCTTCAAGCTGCAGGTTCACTCAGAACCCAACGCAGCCTCACCAAGTGACTAGAATGTTAACTGTCCTGGCCTCCGTGTTTGGGGGGTGGGGGTGGGGCGCTGGGATCCTGGAGTCCTCGGTGAAACTTGGGGCGGCCTCAGTGGTGCTGTCCCCAAATCCCAGTGGGCCCCAGGAGCCTCTGTGGTGGCCCTGCTTGGGTGGGCCCCAAGAGGCTGCCTCACTGTGGTGGATCCCCTCCCCTGCCTTCTCGGTCTGCTACCCCACTGTGTGGTTCTGCCTTCTCAGTTCCGTCCCTCCCACTTCTAGAAACAGAATGTTAATTGTCCTATGAAGAATCCCTTCTCCACAGGCAGCCCATCTGGATTGAGAGGGGGCCAATCCCACCTTAGCCCAGTGCCATGATGGGTTCAGGGTGCAGGATAGCCAGCCATGGCTTTACCCCCCCTCCCCCCGCCCCCAGCTGAGTGTCATTGGTTGCTCTGGGGATGGACACACATCCAGAACTGTTTCACTAAGAGTTGATCTGAGGACGTCTGCTGAGATTTATGGGTAAGAAGTGTGTTTTCCTTCCTTTAAGGTCTCCAGGCTATGAGGCCGGAGCTCTGGTCATCCCTAA